ACCGCAGCACTCTCAAATAACCCCCGTCATGGTTTATGCAATTATGAGAATGAATGAGCTATGGGATGGAGCCATCCCAAATCATAGCTCCTAGGGGTCAATTCTCCAATAACTCATTTTAGTTACGCTAACAAAAAAACCAGTAACGCCAGCAAGTCCTCAAGCACGATGACAGAAATGACAGAGGTTGGGACTCTGCCAGTCGCTATAGATAACAAGGTCCAACTGGCACTTAGGTAACCCCAAGGCTAGTAAGAAATGTCCCGTGGCTCTTCACGAGGGGAAAACAGTGCAGTGAAGACCACAGGGACCTTCTCCACACAGCAGGCACTTTTCAGGCTGCCCAGAATAAAGCTGGTAAGATGATGCCTGCTGGGGTTGCTCTGAATGATGGCAGCACCTGAAGACAAGATTGGTCCCTGTAAGACCTTAATTTTAGCTTCCTGCCGCTAGATTTAACTTGTAGCCCAGATTGTGTGATCTAAAGGTGAAACGCCTTGTCTACGCCAAGCATCCAGCTTCAATTTATAGTCAGCAAGAAAGACGGTGACTTCTGCTTGAGGACTACGGTAGACATGAATCTTGTCAAGCTTAGGCTTTCCCCATTTCACGCCCGTCCTCACCTTCTGCACGTCCATGGTGCTCCTCAGCTGAGGTTACCAAAGCACCTTGGCTGTATGAGGGAGGTTGGTGACAGCAGTCTTACAGTGGCAGGAGGGGCTGGGGCTGGGGAGAAGCAGCAGTGAAGATGTGCGTTTGCTTGACCATGTGACGGAGAAATTTGTTTTTACTGTAATGCTGGGTGTATCCTTCATAATAAAAATGTGCTGATAAATGATGGGGAAGGGACTGTGCGAATGGAGATAAGGGTTTGGGCCAAAACCTGTCAGCAGCAGACAGATCATTGACTTCTTATTGAACATAGCATAGGTAGAGCAGTCCAAGGTATCCAAAATCTCTCTGGAGGCGACATCAACCCACAGCAGGCATCACTGGATATCTGTTCAACTGTAGCCTGCCCCAAACAGATTCATTTTACACCTTTTGGTATATTTTCCGCAAGTTTAAGACCCAGCTGAGCTCAGCCATATAATGCAGGCCTATCATGAGGGCGTATAAGAAAGAAGGACTAGAACAGGGTTAAAATACAGGGGGGTGAAGCAGAAATAACTTTCCCGGGCGATGCACTGGACCCCCCCTTGGATTCTCAGTGCTTTTTTTCTCATCCCCCTTTTAAAATCACCCAAACTCATTCAGGTCCTGCCTCACCCTATAGCTCCCAAACCCCTAACTAAAATACAGTTAGCTCCAAGGGGAATAACCCGAGCAGCAAAGCGGCACTTGTGCAAGGGTGGTATCGGCAGAGGGTGCTCCTTGCATGCGCTGCGGAGGCACAGCTCGGAGCCTGCACGCTCCCACGTGCCAGACGCTCGCTGCAGCAAAGTGCAAATTCACCCCGCCCAGATCCCCAGAAAACAGATGCTCATCCTGAACTTTCTTCACTTCCGTGACAGCAAACATGCCCAGGGATCCTTCAAAGGCAGCATTTAACGTCACTTCCTAAAATAAAATAGCAGGCAGCTCTTCCTGCCTCCAGACACTGATGCTTGGCCACGCTAAGTTTGCTGCCAGGGTCTGGGAGGATTAGGAGCCACATTTAATCTTCCCAGGATGACTAATCCTCCAGGGATGAATGAACTCAATCTACACATAAATACAGCCCGGGGTGCTGGGTCTCCATCCGTCCGCCTCCCCAAATCCCACTCCCCTTGTGCCCCTGTTGTGGCTGGGGCTTTGGGCAAGTCAGAGGTCTATGGGAGCACCCAGCTGCGCATGCTCGGACCAAAAGCTCAGCTCAGCTCCTCATGAGAGCAGCATACAGGGTGGCAAAAGCAATATTTAGGATGCTTAACTTCCATGCTGCTAGGAACAAATCAGCCTGTGCTCGGAGGTATGAAATGAAATACCTTCCATGCAAGGAAGCAAACGCGTTTGGGGTTTTTAGGTGGGAAAAAAGCTGGCAGATGGGGGATATAACAGAGTATAAAACCAGGAGCGGCCTGGGTAGGTGGGACAGGATTTGCTTGGGCTAACCAGGGAGCTTCCAAGGAAACAAGCAGGGAGCAGGGAAGTCTTCACACTGCGTGGTTCACCTGGGGAGCTCCTTGCTGTGGGATGTTGGGGATGCCAAGTGTTTTTCTGCGCTCTTGTAGTGACAAATAGCAGCAGATGCATTCAGCAAGGACTGTTAAATCCTATATTCTGGCTTAGAAAGTCCTTGAGCAAACAAAGTGTGGAAGACTGAGAACATGTTTTAAGGAAATAACATTATGTGATTGCTTGCTTATAATGCATTTTTTATTATATTTTTGTTTTCCTCTGTCCTTTTGCCGAGCCCGCTCTGACTTCTCCCAGACCAGCAGGGAGAAAGGCTCCACCAAACCCTCCCTGCCTCCACCAAGTGAGCTGCAGCCAAATCCAGTAGCTCTACTGGTCTTACCGGTCCTCCCTGCCTGGCAGTGGCACCCAGGGAGGGAAGGACAGACGGACAATGCAGTGTGGTGTTCAGGAGGAGGTTCGCATGGCCATACAAAGGGAGAGGAGAAGAGGTGTCTCTGGACTGAGCTGGCAGCTAAGTTTTAGCAGGGAGGTTGGTACAACACTGCCCAAGCGGCAGCTTATGGCCACAGATAATTTACAGAATATATATTGCATACAGTCATTACAGCCACATAAATAGCTCATGGCAATTCTAGCATTTCCTAAGGCAACCTTGAGAATAATTTGTTGGGAACCCCCTTGGTGTTTCTTATTAAACATCATAAAATATTACCTGTCCCTTATGGTAAAACTCACCACGAGCTTTCCTGGGATGCGTTCCCGTTCCTCCCCAGAAGACTATGATATACCTTTTTGGGGCCTTGCTTTGAAGCTCATCCAGAAGCCCTTAAATCACAGGTTAAGCTCTGAGATTAGCCATAAAATAACTCACTGCAGGTCCTCAGCACCACTTTCTGCCATGCCTTTGAGCAAAGAAACCCATGGCAGTGGGACACGGCCGAGGTAGACTTAGTCTCATCGATGGTCCTGGAGAGGCTGAGGGGGATGCAGTTCACCCAGTTGAGACACGGGAAGTTTGGCTGGCGTATGCCAGCTTCCAGCACAAAATTAAGTGGATTTACTTGAATTGTCCACAGCAGTGGAAAGGGAGGGTGATGGCCTGGTTCAGCCCAGCACATCTATCTCTAGCAGTTGCACCCAGGTCCGGTGAGAGGCGATCCCAGCCTGCACAGTGCTGTATGTCACTAACCGGACACGGTCACAGACAGCACTCCCCTTTGCTCCTTCACCGACCCAAGGAGCATACTGGGACGAGATGAAAATTGAAATGAGGGGACGGGAAATCAGGGGAAATCAAAAAGCTCCGATTTTCCTCGTGCAACATTTACTTTTGGGGTATCCTGGAGGTGTTGCCTTTACAGGCCGATCTAAGTATATCCGTGGTGTTGCAGTCAAGGCAGTTTGCCTTGACATCAGGTGATGTTTCCACTCTGATGAAAAGGAGGAACGTTTGCTGGGACACACTGTCTGTGTAACCAGGTTGTGGCTTGGCAAAGCCCCCGTTTTACCTGCAGCACTAGGGTCAATGTTGTACTGAGTTGTGGCCTGCAAAAGGCGATGATGTGACATCAGAAGATACATTTTAGGCACCATCATTTCAGGGGCAGATGTGCTCATCTGAGTTGTTATAACACAAGTATGCGTAAGATCTACTCAGAAATAGTAGGAGAGATCCAGACAGACCTCATCTTCTCATTTGTTGCCCAGCCCTGACTTCTGTCATAAACTAATTCTCCTTCCACACCAATCTTGCAGTCTGCACTCCAGGACCTTGAAAATTTCGGGTGTGTTTTACTGGGGCTGTGTGGTTTTTTCTCCCTGACAAACTGAAGAGAGAAACCTCATGTTTTACTGTTGAACTGCAGGGCTGGGATTCGAAAGAGCTGGCTCTCATTTCTCATTGAGCAGCAAACCGCATGGGTGACCTTGGGCACGTCATCTCTGGTCCTCTCTTTGCTCCAGCTCCCCCTAATGCTTATCCCAGGCCCTACTCTATTCAGGATGGACTCTCAACCCGGGCTCTTGTTTTTCCTTTGGGCTGATGAGTCCTTTGGCTGCTTGGGCTCCCCACTTCATTTTACCTGGACTACAGTACCCAGCTCCTGACTCTAGGCTGTGCCTAACCATGAGGCACAGCTGTCCGCATCCCACCTGCGTTCCCTCAAGAGGCAATGTTTCATTAAAGGAATCATCTTACAAATTCCCATAGCTTGGTCTACCCTAGAAACTCACTCCCTTGCATGGCCCATGAACTCTTCTGCTGCATTGCTCAGATTTGTACTGACTTGTGATGGCTCTGAGGCAGGACTTCGTGCTGGTCCATGCATTCATGCCATGCCAAGGGGATAGCAGATAGAAAGTAAGGGCAAAGGCCTGCCACGTGCATTAAAGTAAATCTGGAAATGTCACAGAAGTTCCTCTCAAGGGAACAGCAACTCTGTGAGACTGCCCAGTGCACACCCAGCTTTACCCATCCAGCCTCTTCCCCAGCAGAAGGGGATGCTGACCTTGCAGGGCGCCGGGACCTCTTGGATTTTGGTCAAAACTTGGACCTGTGTCCACTGGGTGGACAACCTGAGGAGCAGGAGTGTCACAATATAGACATGGAAGACAGGAAAGGGGAGATTTCCCTAACTGCTGGAATGCAGCGAGGTTAAACGGGTGCGTAAAAGGCAGATGATTAAAGGATGCAGTTGTGAAACTGGTGGTCTACATTTTTTCTGGGTTTTGCAGTAATCTGGGAGCTGGGAAGACAATCCTTCAACACTGACCTCCAAGCACCTCATGCCACGACTGCTGGCCCCAGACCCACCTCCAAACACCAAGGATAAAGTTGGTCCCCGAATCTCCTACGAGCCGATGGGATCGGTGGCACTTACCGTGATGGGGAAATAGTCCCTCATGTACCTCCAGACGACGCTGTTCCGGACGGTGTGGATCCGCCTCCCGCCCTTGCTGGGTTTTTCCCTGTCTATGAACCACCATGCAGCGTAGAGGGCACTGACCAGCCAAAAACGCGTGAAGAAGAGGGCGATGAAGGCAACGGTGCAGCACTGTGCTGAGAGAAAAGCCAGACAGTGAGTTGGCAGTTGGGTTAGGTGGGCACTGGGAGAGGAATGATTCACCTGAAGGGACCCGGTCTGTTTGGAGCCGGGATGGAGCCCAAGCCTTCACCGGGCTTGCTGCTGAATTATTTTATCAGTGTGAAGGCACCTTTGATGCAAAGCGGTGGTTTCTTTCCTGTCTGCCCCAGGAACCCAGAGAGCAACCAAGCACCGTCCTTGCAGCAACCACCTATTTCTCCAAAGGCCACCGTGTCCCCCTCTTCCCACAAGTCTGATGGACCTCACTGCATCCAGAGGGTCCTCGTGGATCAGATCTCTATCCCTTTGCTGTCTGGCTTTTCTCTGGAGTCAGTCTGACCTCTGCAACGATAATGCCCGTGTTTTACCCCAAAACTCCTGTTAATACCCCCTGATGACACCTGGCATTTTGCAACAGCAGCAAAGTGGGGCACTATGCCCTGTCCACACAGTCCTCAATAGCTTTGTCCTGAGCTATCGCTTCCCCATTTTAATTGTCTTGGATTTTTAATTTTTTATCTTCCCATATATAAGATTGATTTTTTTCTTATTGATTTTGAACCTTTTCCTCCACTTCTCGGTTGACTCTCAACTCTAATCTTGGCCTCTAGAGGATTTTCAGTCCTTTCAACTCGGTGTCATCACAGATTTTATAAGAATGCTCTATTTCATTCCCTAAGACATTAATGACTTGGGACTTTCCCAAGTCATTAAAGACTTTTCTGAGCTGCTTCCAATCAGTGCTCAGCTTTGCCCTCTGCCACCCACCTCCCTCATGCCCTGTGTTTTGGCACGGGAACAAGAGAAGAAAAGTCTGTGTGCAAAACAAGCATCACTTGGTACATCAAATCCCACCCAAGCCCAACGTTGTCTGTCTGCACAGAGACTGGGAAGCACTGATGGCCACCAAGATGCCACCTGGTAAAGCAGATGCCCTAAGAAGTGCCTGGGAATAGCTGTGTCCTCTTCATCTGTCCCTCTGGAAGTCTTGGTGTTGTCTGGGAAGGAGGAGATGGAGCTAAAAAAACCAACCCTGTTCATCCAAGCCCTTTGCCTCACCCAGCTCATGGGTTACATCATGTTTGGCGGGCTGTATGTTTTGTTCTTCTCTGGGTCTTCAGCACAGATCCAGCACCCAGGGCTGAAGGACATGAGGATGGAGATGCCCTGTTCAGCTTCAGCTGTGAGATAGATGCATCCATGCCCTCATCCTCTGAGACCTGGATTTTCATCTTTGGGAGTCACCCGGCACCTGCCCTCTCCATCTCATCTCAGCTAAGGCCTATCAAAGAAGATGTACACGATGCTCTCATTTGAGACCTCCTTGTACCTCCTGTTTGCTTTAACAGCAAATAAGTAGAAAGGAGAAAGGAGAAATTAGTGTAAGGATAAATAAGTAGGTCTGGTTTGTAGGGGGTTTTTGTGATAAGTCACCCTGATCCTAGAGCTTTGATTGTAAAAACAAATCCCTGCCCCTTTTTAAAACACTGGCATGATGGTACTGGTAATTCCTGGGGGGTGGGGAAGGAAATTTAGCAGGATCCTAAACCTCCTTAAAGCTGAAATGGGATCTTATGTCCTCGTACAGGTAGAGACGCTGCATCGAGCAGCATTTGAACAGAAAAGCAAGGCAGGTGCCTGGGTAGGCACTAATACAGTGCATGGGGAAACACTGCAGCTCTCTGCAGAGCAACAGGTCCAACCCGCAATGCATCCTCCAGGCCAGAACGAACCACTGCTCGTGCCGGGCGCCACTCCTT